TATAAAATTATTGAAATATTCTAGCAAAAGCAGTAAAGGTTATGTTGAACAACTAAAAAAATCAGACTACGGAGTGTTAATGATGTTACCTTAACATACCAGCTTCAGGGGCTGCATAATTGTTTCTGCCAACCCATAAATTTTTGAGTAACAACAAAATTATTGTGATTTTTCTTACTAAATAATTCATACATTACAAAGCATGTATGTAACAAGGTCCATGAATCACTAAAGCATATAATGATCATATATCTAATGACATATTTGTTCTCATAAGATGAATTCAAATAGATTTATGTATTTAGGTTAACTAAAAAATACTGAGTTTATAAGGTTCATAATTCTATCAACAAAAAAACTTCAAGTCTTCTTTAGAAAGTACTGTTTGTATGCTTCGCTTTTTAGAAGCAAAATCTGTTACTGAACAGAAACCTCATATTTGAGCTACTGTTCATAAAGTTTTATATAGTTTTTTGTATTGCTACTATTACTATCGGTGAAAATAAGCTAGTCACATATTGTAATAGTGGCACAGTATTAAAAACTGTTTGAAATCATCCAAATCCAACTAAAATAGCTATAAGTATCATTCATGGTAGACACTCAATATCACTACTAATCAATGTTGTTTAGATAGCGACTCAGAACCAAAAAGGAGTATTTAAACAAAGAATAAGGGCCCAGGCACCTTTGTCTGGTCTTTTGCAACAGATGGGCTTTGCCTTCAAACAATTCTTCATTAAAATAAACACAGGCACCTAACTCAAATTATCACATTCAAATACAGGAGCTTATATAAAACAATGTTAACTCAATGTATATTTGTATTAATTTGATAACTCATTTTTCTCAACTTGGCTGATTTCAGTAGGCATCACTCAATCACACTCAGTTTATTAGAACAAAAAGCATTTACTAACCTCATCTACCTCGAAACAAAAGAGATTTTACACAGTGTATTCGGATCCATTCTACTAGAAAGCTGAGAAAACTTTTAGAAACATACTACAAATTACTTGGCTTACTTTCATCCCAATTATATAAGAATTCTCAATTAGCAAAATAAACTGATTTCTGACAAGCAGTTTGATGTCTATATTGGTGGATATCAGTTTAGCTATATATTCATTAAAAGGAAAAAGTTCTTCTGCCACAAATTTATATTGGAAAATAATGCTCTGTAGAATATGGTCACTGTTAATAATACCTTTTATTGTCAAGAAAGCTCCTGTGAAATAAATTTGTCAGGAACATAAAAAGGTATAAAAGTGAAATATAGCAATTAAGGTCTCTGTTCTATTGATTGTGTAGTTTAAGTAATTTTTCATTACTAACATAAGATTTAATAAGTATAAGTAGTTAAACACTCTGACTTGGCACTAGTCATTAGCATGTAATTGAACTGGTAAAAAGGATCAGTTAAAGCTAGGTTGATTACTACCTTATCTTTGAAAGGCAATTAAAGACCTCAATCATTGCAGCAAGATTTGATTATGCAGCCTTTACTGGACATTGATCTTTCAGCAAAGTGCAGTTACATTTTCCATTAATTTATAGTAACACAGTTTAACTTGGATACCTTAGACTGTTGACCCAGGTAAGATGTAACACTAAGCACTTGTTCAGGTTAAGATGCCCCCAGTAGCCATTATTGCTTAAAAGGTGAGTGGTGAAAAAAGTAGCTACGTGATCCACTAGGTTTAGGGTAAGGTTTCCGTTCTTAGCATTAACTGTTAAGTGAGGTGAAATCAAGATCCTTACCTTTTTATGTCACCCCATTCATTTAAATATCATTCTTGTATACAGTGAAGAGATAATTAAAGTAAGCTATAAGATGTTCTGTATTTATGGATTCCAATGAGATTGGACTAGAAGTCAGCTAAAAAGGTCATTTTGTATTTCAAACTTTTCCCCCAGTGAGTATAGATGATTTTAGAAAATGAAAAAAGGACACAGCCTTACCAAAAATTACAAATAGCAAGATTCTAATTAGAGACTAAATGTGTTTATGATAGAAAAGGTAAATAATTATAGCTATTATGCAGATGATGCTAAGTGAAGACACCAGTAGGCACTAAGAAGCATTTTTTATATCATGTGTATCATCACCCCTTGTTTTGCATCTTTTTTAATGTGTCTCATGAGCAACAAATTATTCTGATCAGAAATTTCCTTGATTATTTGCTACTTGACATATAGAGAAATAATTATAGCAAAGAAGCAGGGTTATTTCTGGACCAAAAACCAAACCTTTTAAAAGCCAACCAATCAAAAAAGTTGTTTATATTTTAAGAAACACATAATACTGCTAAACAAATTTGAATGCAGGAAGTCTACCCCTACTTGCCTTATCAAAGAAAAAATTTCCATATTGGGTCTATTTTTTTTCCTTTGGTTTCCAAAATAGGAAAAAAATTTACTTGGCTTTCTCCATTTATGACATCTGATTTTTTAAAATAAGGGCTGGCAGAAGGCATTAAAAACCTTTTTAAGGAGACAAAAATAAAACTGATGCTATATTTATAAATACACTTGAATTCACTATATACCTGAAAGAATAAAAGTTACCAGTATTATTTCTCTCTTATTATAGATTGGAAGAGCTATAGGATTGATGCTAAAAATAGAACTAATATTTTGATTGGACCTCACACTTTATTCCTTAGGTCATAATGCCTCTTACCTAATATCCCCAAAAGAAAGTTAAACCACTACTGTACTATATATAGCAATTTTTAAAAGATAAAAGCATTTTGTAAAGTCCATTTATTATAATACTTGAATTCTGTCCTTAGCTATCTTCCAGTTCATCCCTCTTCATGATCAACTCTGTAAGAGCAAGAGGTCTATTGATTTTCATGTAATACAAGAAAATATTACATTTGCTTAATTGTTACACAGTGAGAACATTAGACAAGAAATCAAGTCACTATTTAATGCTGCAAGCAGCACAGAATCACTGGGATCAATAGGGTAGTTTGTCAAAGATGTTCTCTAAGGAGACGTGCCCATCACTATATGGACAAGAAGTCACTTTGGCCATAGTTATTGAAAAACAGGTAAGCAAAGTCAGCAGTACAAATTATCAGAAATCAAACAGGCCAGTGTGAGAGGAGGTACAATCCCACTGAAAAGCTGTATTATAGTCTGGTAATTAAAAACCATTTTATCAGCCTTGTGTTGGGACCAAACCTTTACAGGAAAGTATTGACAAGACCAGCAGCAGTGAATGAGCAATATTGGACTTTAAACTTATGAGTTCTAGTTATTTAACTTTGCCCGTTACACAGGAAATCAGTTCTAGCCTTTCCAGCAAAATGCTAATACTGAGTTTTATTATTAATGAAGCTTAATGTAACACTATCTCTACGGTGCAAGCCATTCACTTAACTTGTGTCAAGTATATTCTTCAGTACTAAATATATTGGCATAAATACTTCTTTGATTAAAGTTTTGTTTAGTACTCCTTTAAGACAAGTGAACACAATACTTATGTAGTTGGAAGACCCATTCACAATATGTAGATCATTTGCAATAGGATTACTTCTAGCAGAACTTGTTTGTATTATTAATTGTATATGTGATCTTTGTGATTTAATCTCAGTCACTTTCACTTTCTTTCCAAGCAGCAAATAGTTGGGGGAGGGGGGAATCTTGTTTTGCATACAAATGAGTGGTTAATTATAGATTATTGATCTTAAATACAGATTAGTTTAGAAATTAAATAGTTCTTAGTTCTCCCAAAATTGCCTCCCCATTTCTGAAATTTACCATTCGGCTTGAGTATTTCACAACTGCTAAGCAGAATGATTTTTTAAAAATTATAGGGCTTTCAAAACCACAATGAAATTTTATTTAATAAGCTCAGAACCGAAACTATTTCCCCATCTTTAAAATGACTGTTAAAAGGCTTATAATCATTAAGTTACTCCACCAGTACTAAGATGACCATGGGGTTTTGGAAGCTGTTTAACAAAGCACTAGTTTTAGCAGATTCTATCAACCTGGAAGAGATTCAAGTAGGGGCCTGGTGATGGACTTTTTCTGATATTCAAGGACCAGCCCGGCTACGTTCACAGAGGCTCATTAACACAAGATTGGCCGAACAAACTCAAGATAAACACGGCATGAAAGGTATATGAAGCCCTCCCTCAACAATTTTTCGTTATAAAATATATTTTTCTAGAAATAATCTCCCCTCCCCCAATTTTAACATTAGACTATTTTATCCTTATAATTGGAGTATAGTTTCATTAATTTTACAGCAATTATAATTTTAAAAATACTGGACATTCTTGGGAAAGACTTAAATTTGAATACTACCTTTGAAACTAACTATATGACCAGGACCCCTTTAAGACTTAGTTTTCCCTTCTATTGGGGACAATAACTATAGTACCTACTTCACAGGTTTGTTTCAAAGATCAACTGGCAATGCATGCAGCCAGCAATACAACAAAGTGTTTTGTAAACCTACTGCTGTAAAAATGCCAGTTTTTATCATTACATTTTAAATATGCTTAATGTAGTACTTGAATCCATAAGTAATAAAAAGACATCACTATCATTGCATAATACAGTTCAAGGCCTTTAAAATGTTCCATCTTGAATCGAACACTTGGGTGGTCTGGATTTTATACTAAGAATTCACTCTCACTTTTCCTGTAGCTAATGACTTAGGAATGGTTTCCAAATCATACTTCAGCTTTCTATGTTACTTCCAGTCTTCAAGTCGTTCTCCTACTAGGTTTAGGCCTTTACCTTTAAAGAGTTTATTTAAATTGATAACATCTAATAATAGGAATCTGTATTCATTATAAATTTTTTTATCTGAAATTTATCTACCTTTAGGAAAAAATAGCAATGTGAACATCCAGGTGTTTGAAGTTCCCACTGGCTGAATAAAGTAAGCAACATATATATCAACCTATCAAAAGCTAAGCCTCTTAAGGGCAATGCTTTATCTTAAAGTAAGAAATAAAAAGAAAAAAGTGTTTTTAAAAGTTTTATTTTAAAGGAACAAAAATAAATATTACTTTTAAACACATGAGACAACCCACTAGCTGTTGTGCTCTTCAATGCACAGTTTTAGTACATGGCACCTTCATCTTCTTTATTTAGAAAATAAACTGTTATGGGTCCATAACTGGTATGAACAGTCTCTGTGACTCTGGCAAATAACCAGGAGCCAAGTCCATATAACAAAGTTGGAAGGCCTAGAAGAGAAATGAACAAATATCATTGACATTTGCTAAACATGTATATAATATTCTGTACAGAGTAGAATATGTAAGATAGTCCTAACCATCTAGCAACTTCAACTGAAAATTTTAACATTATTAACCAACCAATGTGCTAAGATATCTAAAGTAATGTTCAGGATGTCAATGCATGTACCATCTCTTTGAATAAGCAATGTTGGTGAAAACTTTGCAGGCCTAAAAATCTTTTTTTCTACCTATCTGAAAAGCTCAAAGTAGTTAACACTAATCCATTTCCTCACAATCCCCTAGCAAGTAATTATATTTTACTATATAGAGTGGTACATTTAATTATGCTAGATGAGATCTCTTATTATTTATTAGTCTTGACACTTAAATTATCAAGGCTCTTTAGCTCTTTAACACAGACAATGGAAGTTTTTGAATGTGCCTTTTAAATTTAAGTCAAAACAATTCTGAGAATTCTATATTTTTGAGAAAAAATACTTAAGTATTTTATAATTGTAAATAGAAAACAATCTTCTATTTCAATTGATTTGAAACAGAAATAAATTCTATAGATCGAACATAAATATCTTTGGTCAAAATTTGAAAATTATTAGTGAGATTATTTCCCATTTGGGATACAGGAAAATAAACATATTATCCAGAGACAATTATTAAGTATTCCTATGCAAATGGCAATGATAATAAACTCATTAAGTTAAAGTCACAATTATTACTCTCTCTTGAGTTTACAATCTAAAATAATTAACACGGAAAAACACAAGATATAGGTACGTAAATGTCTAATTTAAATTTATTCAAATTAGATTTAATTTTTATATTTAACCTTTTATATACTAAATATTATTAAAATGATTTTACACATTATCATATATAGGCACTTCTGGAGAGGGAAATAAAGCATAAACAAACCATGAACTGTCAATCTAGAAAACCACTTTTTGCATCTAGTTAGTAGTAAAATCAACAAATTCACAGAGGCAGTTTTCCTCCTTTTCTATAAGGCACACTGGCCATGTGTGCTCCTGAGTTAGCAGGAGACAACTCTCCAAGTTGTATAACTGTTTCGATACCTGCACTGGTGGAGAAGTTCCTCATAAGGAGCTACCTCCCTCTACCACAATCACAGATCAGGTCCATAGCCTTACCCTAAGAAGCCACAATCAGCCAGCCTGGCTTATGCCTTGATAGAAGGAGGTCTCTTGAATGCTAAATTCCTGTTAACAGGTTTGGCCTCTTCCCATTCCAACTGATATCAGATTTATAATAGTACCTTTCAAAAATTATATTCAGCTTGAGGTCTAAACTAACCCCAAATCTTTGGCCATATGTCCTAAACTATTCTTTCTTACTTACATAGGGGTGGAAGGATTTTTTTTTCTCCAACAGAAAGTAAACTCCTAGAAGGCAGAGGATGTTTTATTTTTGTCTTTGAATCTCAGAGTCCACCACAGTCAAGCACATAGGTACTTAAATGTTGGGCAAATCAGCAAAATCTCTATTTCTACAAGAGTCCTAGGCCCACGCTTCATCCTGTTACCATGATGACCCAGAGAGACAGTCTTGGAATCTGAACAACCATACAAATGACCCACAAACTCCAGCAGGGCCTATCAAGCCAGAAACCCTTCACAATTCCCTTCACAATGTCCTCCCAACAGATTAATATATCTGTAGCTAGGACCAACAAAAGACCATTGGCCACCAAGTGATGATTTTTCTTTTTTTAGCTACTGCAACTTTTACTTTTAGAAGACCTTGATGATTACTATTAGGATCTAGAATGGCTGCAACCTTCATCAGTGGAGAAAATAGCTATATTGACAAAATCATGGATCTTTGAAGTACTGAAGTCAAACTCTCCAATGTATTTTTTTTCTTGGTAAACTTAATCCTATATTCAAATTTCTTTTAGCCAGCTCTCCTTGAATTCAATCCTTGAAGACTGTACCACCCCCCAACACTCTGTCATCCAAATAAGTAATAAAAAAAAAAGTTCTTCATCTGCAAACTATACTTAGCAAATTATCTTCATTAATACCTGACAGAACCTAGGGCAGAGTTTGTGGAACATTATTTCATAAATTCTATAGTCAACTTATACAGTTATCATAAACATACATATGCAATATTTAAATTTAATTAGCTATCAGGCTAGAGCAATATTAGCACAGTATAGCTAATCAGATAGATGTGCTACAGTTTGCCCTTAAAAATATCACAATTAGTTGGATAACATTTTTCTGGCTCCAAAAGCCTCAACTGTGAATGAGCTGACACCTATACCTGAATATGATCCTTGCTGACTGGCTCAAAAACAAATTTAGGTTTATAAACTTGTCACCGACTGATAAAATCTGTCTAGACACTAATCAGTGCCACACTCCACCTAATCCAAGAATGTAAACTCCTTACTGATGAGGATTTTTTTATTCTTTTTCATTGTAACTCCAGCCCCTAGCAAAGTTGCCCCGACACACAAATAGGTTCTTAATAAATACCTGACTGATGAGTATCAAGCCACTCTCTGAATGCCCCAATAAATGAAAACCTCACCGAAACAGAATACAAAGCACAACGTACTAGATTCCTTTTAAGTAATAGATTTTGTTAGAACAAAACTATCCAGTGAAAAATGAAAATCTGTTTCCTGCTTTTGACTCAAGAAACAAACTGCTGGGATTTTATATCAACCTTTATTACCTAAAGCGTTTTTATCCTTTTTTGTGTGTCATGGATCCCCTTTAACAATCCGAGGAAGTCTACTGACCCTCCCTCAAGATGTTTTTAAACGCACAGAATAAAATTCGTAGGAAATAAAGGAATCTAGTTATACTGACTGTAAGATTCTTGAGGGCAGATACTATTTTGCCCTTATTTGGATCCCCAGTGTTTAGCATAATGCCTGGAACACAGCAGACACTTAATACTTGCTTGTTGACACGCTGGTTATCAAAATGTAAAAAGAACAACAACAACAAAAGAACCAGGTTCACGGACCCCATGTTCAAATCCCTCTGATAGAGACGCACACGGTTTAAGCCTTCTTACGGCTTACACTGGGGTGCCAGTTTTTACAGGCATAATCCATACAGGTGGATTATGAACGCCTCCGGCCAGGGAAAAAACTCCTTTATTTCAAATCCACTTTTTCCTGGGGAAGGCCTCCATTCCCCCTCACTACCCACTCTCCATTCCCGCAAAGTGACCCACGCCTCTACGAAAAGGGAGGGGGAAGTAAGAGCCCGCCCGTGACAAGCAGGGGCGAAGCCGGGCGACTCGCGCAGAGGGCGGGGCTTGTTGCGGAGGGGGCAGGGCGATTCACAAGCCCTTCGCCAGCAGACCGACCCTTGACCCTTCTCCCTGCTCTTCTTCCTCCTACTCCTCCCCACACCTCCCTCACCGAGGTTGATGACTTTCAGCGCTGTGAAGAACTGGTCCTGCCGGTCCAGGTCCTGCCAGGGCGCCTTGGAACAGTGATACTTGATGAAGGGGAAGCAGCCGGTGCGCAGAACGTGGTAGTTGGCCCCCTGCACCGCCCAGTTGAAGTGGGAGAGGCCGAACTGGTCGTTATGCACGGCGCTGTAGGGGACGCAGAATGAGGTCCAGTGAGGCAGGCGCCGCTGCAGCAGGTGCTGGGTGAGCACCTCCGAGGCGCGGGGCTTGGCCGAGGCGGCGCCCCGAGGGCTCAGCAGCAGCACCAGCCGCAGGGCGGCCTCGTGAACCTGCCTCAATAACTCCATGGGCGTCCCTCCCCCGGGAGCCGCCCCTCCCCCGCCTCCGGGGAGGGGGCGAAGCTCAGGATTGCGCGTGCGCGCAGCTAGCGAGCGTGCTCCCGTTCTTGCCCCCGTCCCCGCCTGTCTCTCTGTAGGGAAGGCTTAGCGCATGCGCAAAGGTCCGCAACTGCCTAGGTGCTCTGTGCACGTGAGACCTGACCGCAGTCTCAAGTTAACCCTTGCATGTGCCGGCATGGGCATAGTTACGCACACTCTCCTTGGATTAAGGGGGAAGAGATGGGAAGTTCAGGAGAATCAGAGGACTCTTACAACCAAGAGGAAAGAGCAAAGCCTGTGTGGGAAGACCTCTTCTCAACCGCGACAAAGGGAAGGGGAAAGAGAGGGAGGGGATTTGCTAAGAGGTTAGGAGGAGCAGGCCCTCCTCTTCGACCTTTGAATGGCCTCTTACCTGATCTCTCTGCCATTGTTCACACTTCGGCCATCACCTCGACGCCTTTAAGTGGCTACCAGCAGCCTGTTACATAGACAGCAAACTCCTAGGCCCTCCAAATCTGGCTTCATCCTACCTTCCTCCCAGCCTCAACCAACAAGCGTTAACAATTATGTAATTAAGTAACAATTATGTGCCAGGCTAGGGATACTGTACCAGGTTAGAGATACAAAGACAAAAAGAAAACCCTTGTCGTTGTTCTGTTGGACCAAAAGCCATGTAGAAATTTATTAGAAAATAAGGACACCATGGATACCGTACCGTTTCTACCTCTGTCTCTGCCTCTTTGTTTGCATAGTTCCCAGTGTCTAGATTCAGACTGTAAAACAAGAGTGAGAAGTCTGTGGCCTCGAGGCCTCATGTGGCCCTCTAGGTCCTCAGCCCTTTGACTGAATCCAAACTTCAAAGAACAAATCCCCCTTACTAAAAGTAAGTTCTTTAAAACTTGGATTCGGTCAAAAGGCAGCACACAAGGACCTAGAAGGGCACCTATAGCTTGGAGGCCACAGATTCCCTAATCCCGCTGGAGGACATCATCCCCCATATCTGCCTATTGCTCTCCTTATCCATTCTTCTAGATCCAACCCAAATGGTATCTTGACCCTGCTCCTCCCTCAATCACTCCATCTAAACACAACATTTTCTGTGTACTGCTCATGTGTATATCATATTCCAATATGCATTACTTTTTTTGTGTGTTTTTTTATAATCACCCCTAGTAGAATGTAAGCTCCTTGAGGGTAGTAGTTTTTGTTTTTTATTGAGGCAATGTGACACAATGGGGAAAAAAATTTATTTCTAGTCTGAGGACCTAGTTTTAAATTCTTCCTGTGTGGTAGGAGAGTTTATTTAAACTCGGTGGCCCGCAGATTTCTTAATGGGTAAAATGAAGGAGATTGGACTAGATGGCCTTCGGGGTCTCATCCCTCTCTGCATCTGTGATCCTATTACTGGTTGGTACTTGATCATATGAGATGTTTGTAAAGAGCTCTGCAACCTTTAAAGTCAATTGTCATTATATCTTCCTTAGAAGATAACAGTTCTTGGTACCATAAGCACGTAATAAATATAAGGTGAATAAAAAGGTGTCCTCAGAGATACTACTCTGATGAAATCCAAAGAAGATACAAAGCCAAGTGTGTCTTTATTTGTTGTGCCTTCTTTGATCATAACTGTTTTGGGACTCTTTTCCTACTTCCCCATCTTCAAGATAGCAAATCTATCCTCATAAGATGAATTCCACTCAGGATCTGATTGATATCAAGTGACAGTTTATCCCTGAAACTTAAAAATCCATTGTGGATCTACCTATTAGTTAAGAAAAACAACAGCCCTATCTTGTTCTGTTTATATTTTATGTTACTGTCTTCTGAGATACACTTTATATGAGCCTTTTGAGATAACATATCTATTTGGTAATGGAATGTTTCCCTAGCTTTGCCCTAAAACTGCCTAGTTCAAGTCTCCAAGGGGCTGGGGGGGGGGAAGAGATAGGTTTTTACATTTGGAGATTTCGTATTAAGTCTATACATTCACCCTGTTTGTGCTGCTAAAATCCTTTTTCACCTTTTATCAATGCAGAAAAAGTAGGCAGGGAGGAAAATGTATAACATTGCTTCCTGTTATTCACTTTTCTTTTCCTTTGGCTCAGTGGTCATCTCCTTTCTAATAGGTTAGTAGGATGATAGCTAGAAAAGTTTCTTAGAGGCCATCTAGGCCAATCCCCTCATTTTATATTTGAGGGAACTGAGATCCAAAGAAATAAAGGGACTTGCTCAAGTAACACAGGTAACAAATGGAAGAGGCACAATTTGAAACCAACCATCCTGAGTCCAGGGGTGCTGTACCTTCTACTGTACCAGACTGACTTCTGTCTTCCACAGTTGAAAAGGAACATTAAAAAGAAGGTTAACTTGGAGGGGAAAATATGGCTGAGGATTTATTAATTACTATTGCTAATAATGGGCCCCTAGGTGGCACAATGGATAAAGCACCAGGCCTGGAGTCAAGAAGAATTGAGTTCAAATGTGATCTCACTTACTAGCTGTGTGAACCTGGGCTAGTGACTTACCCCTCTTTACCTCAGTTTCCTCATCAGTAAAATGAACCAGAGAAGAAAATGGCAAGCTACTTTAATGTCAAGAAAATCCCAAAATCAGGTCATGAAGCGTCAGACACAATTGAAATGACTGAGCAGCAACAACAAATTGCTAATAATTTACATTCATACAGTATTTGACAATTTACAAGGGCAATCTCTTTTTATATATACAAAAAGAGGCAAAAGATAGTTCCTGACAGCAGTGAGCTTTCAGATTGTTCTAGCTTTGTCTGCCTGACATCAACGAGCTTACCAATTATTCTGGTTTTGTCTATGTCATACCACATCAGATCATCTAAGTCTTCTTAAGTTTCTCTAAAACTATCCTCTTTATTGTGTCTTACAGCACAATAGTATTCCATTACATTCATATTCCATACTTTGTTCGGTCATTCCCCAGTTGATGAGCACCTCCTTAGTTTCCAGTTCTTTGTGACCACAGAAAGAGCTGCTGTAAATATCTATGTACATACAGGATCCTTTACTCTTTCTTTGATTTCTTTGGTAGTATAGGCCTAGTAGTAGGTCTAAAGGTAAGCATAGTTTAATGACATTTGAGTCATAGCTCCATATTGCTTTCCAGAATGGGTAGACCAACTTGCAGCTTTACCAACAGTGCCATCAGCGTGCCTGTTTCCCCACTGCTCCTCCATGGGTCATTTTCCCATATTGTCAGTTTTGCCAATCTGACTGGTGTGGGGTGGAACCTCAGAGTTATTTTAAATGCATTTATCTAATCCTTAGTGATTAGTATTCATATGGCTATTGACAGCTTGGGTTTCTTCTTAGAAAATTGCCTGTTTATGTCTTCTGACCATTTATTAGTTGGGGAGTTACCCTTATTCTTACCAATTTGAAGCAGTTCCTAATGCATCTTGGAAATGAGATTGTCAGAGAAACTTGCTGCAAATATTTTTCTCAATTGTCTGTTTTCTAATTTTAGCTATATCGATTTTATTTGTGCAACATGTTTTTAGTTTCATGTTAATAAAGTGGTCCATTTTATCTTCAGTGATCTCCTTTGATTGGTCATGAGTTCTTTCCCCATCCATAGATGTGAAAGGCATTTCTTCCTTGTTCCTTCCATTTGTTTATGATGTCATATGTTTAAGTCAAGTGCCCATTTGGAGTTTATCTTGGTACATAGGATGAGATGTTGATCTTTACCTAGTTTTTGCCAGGTTGCTTTATAATTTCCCAAATACTTTTTTGTTGAATGTATAGTCTTATTCCAATAGGTAGGGTCTTTGGGTTATCAAACACTAGGCTAGTGTTTCATTTGCTTCTGTATGTTGTGTACCTAATATGTTCTACTTTATATTCTTAACCTTTCTGTTTCTTTTTTAAAAAAATTTTTATTTTATTAATTTATTTTGATTTATCAACAATCACTTCCATATGCTTTAAATTTTAAAAAACGTTTAAAATTTTTGTCCCCCTTCCTCCCTAACACCCTCCCCAAGACAGCACACAATCTCATATAGGCTATACATTTACATTCTTATTAAACATATTTTCACATTAGTGAATATGTAAGTAAAAATTCAAACCAATAGGAGGAACTATTAGAAAGAGGAAACAAAACTCAACAGAAGAGAAGAAAAATCATAGCGATTCAACTTCCATAGTTCTTTCTTTGGATGTGGATAGCATTTTCCATCACGAGGCCTCTGGAGATGTCTTCAGTCCTTGTATTGCTGAGAAGGGTTAAGTTTATCAGTATTAGACATTGTACAATGTGGCTGTTATTGTGTACAATGTTCTCTTGGTTCTGCTCACTTCACTCAGCCTCAGACCATACAAGTGTTTCCAGCTTTTTCTGAAGTCAGCCTGTTCATCATTTCTTATAGCGTAATAGTATTATTCCATTACATTCATATACCACAACTTGCTCAGCCATTCCCCAATTGATGGGCATCCTCTCAATTTCCAATTCTTTGCCACCACAAAAAGAGCTGCTATGAATATTTTTGTACATGTGGGTCCTTTTCCCATTTGTATGGTCTCTTTGGGGTATAGCCCTAGAAGTGCTATTGGTGGGTCAAAGGGTATGCACATTTTTATAGCCTTTGGGCATAGTTCCAAATTGTTCTCCAAAATGGTTGGATCATTTCACAACTCCACCAACAGTGCATTAGTGTTCCAATTTTCTCACATCTTTTCCAACATTTATCATTTTCCTGTTTTGTCATGTTGGCCAATCTGATAGGTGTGATGTGGTACCTCAGAGTTGTTTTGATTTGCATTTCTCTAATCAATAATGATTTAGAGCATTTTTTCATATGACTATAGATGGCTTTAATTTCTTCATCTGAGAACTGTCTGTTCATATCCTTTGACCATTTATCAATTGGGCAATGGCTTGTAGTCTTATAAATTTGTCTTAATTCTCTATATATTTTAGAAATGAGGCCCTTATCAGAGAGACTGGTTGTAAAAATTCTTTCCCAATTTTCTACCTTCCTTCTAATCTTAGTTGCATTGGCTTTGTTTGTGCAAAAACTTTTCAATTTAATGTAATCAAAATTATCTTTTGCTTTTCATAATGTTCTCTATCTCCTGTTTGGTCATGAATTCTTCTGTTCTCCATAGATCTGATAGGTAAACTATTCCTTGTTCTCCCAGTTTGCTTATAGTATCAGCCTTTATATCTAAATGAACCCATTTTGACTTTATTTTGGTATATGGTGTGAAATTTGGGTCTATGCCTAGTTTCTGCCATACTCTTTTCCAGTTTTCCCAGTAGTTTTTTTCAAAGAGTCTTGTCCCAGAAGCTGGGGTCTTTGGGTTTATCAAATAATAGATTACTATAGTCATTGACTACTGTGTCTTGCATATTTAACCTATTCCACTGATCCACCACTCTATTTCTTAGCCAGTACCAAGCAGTTTTGATGATTGCTGCTTTATAATACAATTTAAGATCTGGAATTGCTAGGCCACCTTCCCCTGCATTTCTTTTCATTAGTTCCTTTGATATTCTGGACCTTTTGTTCTTCCAAATGAATCTTGTTATTATTTTTTTAACTCTATAAAATAATTTTTTGGTAGTTTGATTGGTATGGCACTGAATAAGTAAATTAGCTTAGGTAGGATTGTCATTTTTATTATATTAGCTCGGCCTACCCATGAGCAACTGATGTTTTTCCAATTATTTAGATCTGATTTTATTTGTGTGAAAAGTGTTTTGTAATTGTGTTCATAGAGTTCCTGGGTTTGTTTCAGGAGGTAGACTCCTAAATATTTTATAATGTCTACAGTAAGTTTAAATGGATTTTCTCTTATCTCTTGCTGTTGGGCTTTGTTGGTAATATATAGAAATGCCGATGATTTATGTGGGTTTATTTTATAGCCTGCAACTTTGCTAAAGTTATTTATTATTTCAAGTAGTTTTTTACTTGATTCTCTAGGATTCTCTAAGTATATCATCATGTCATCTGCAAAGAGTGATAGCTTTGTTTCTTCTTTGCCTATTCTAATGCCTTCAATTTCTTTTTCTTCTCTTATTGCTAAAGCTAAGTTTCCAGTACAATATTGAATAACAGTGGTGATAATGGACATCCTTGTTTCACCCGATCTTATTGGAAATGCTTCTAGCCTGTCCCCATTACATATAATGCTTGCTGAAGGTTTTAGATAGATGCTATTTATTATTTTAAGGAAGACTCCATTTATACCTATGCTTTCTAGTGTTTTTAATAGGAATGGGTGTTGTATTTTATCAAAAGCTTTTTCTGCATCTATTGAGATGATCATGTGGTTTCTGTTGGTTTTGGTGTTGATATGCTCAATGATGCTGATAGTTTTCCTAATATTGAACCAACCCTGCATTCCTGGTATAAATCCTACCTGGTCATAGTGTATTATTCTTGTGATAAGTTGCTGCAATCTATTTGCTAGTATTTTGTTTAAAATTTTTGCATCTATATTCATTAGAGAAATTGGTCTATAATTTTCTTTCTCTATTTTGACTCTTCCTG